AAGATTTCTAATTTGCCCCCCCCCCCCCCCCTTTTTTTTCCTCTTCTGTTTGAGGAGGTTTCTTTCAACCTAATTTTTATTTTTTCTTTATTTTCTTTTTTAACTTTGGCGTGGAGATATGTGGTAATGTGGTGGGATGAGTTGGTTTACCTCCTATACATGATTTGCTTCTTATATGCCAATATCTCTTAGAATTTTACAAGGAGTGGAATGATAAGATTTGGCCACATGGAAAAACAAGTTTGTAGTGCAATGTGGTTTCACTAGGATCATAAGGTCAAAGGAAAGTTTCACACCATGTTTGATCTGTGGCAACATGTCTTGTTTATCAAGCATGCGGTATTTTCTTTTGTCCTCTGTGATGTCCAACTGGGTGGGCGTTAGATGCTAGCCAGAATTTTTGATATTTCATAATATGCCCGGCATGACATGTCCTCTTGTGTCTCTGTGTGATGGAACTAGACTGGTATTAAAATTAAACGAATGGGTTGTTTTTCAATGCCGAAATGAATTGCTGAGTTCATCAGTTGAAGCATTGTTGTCATGGTGCAAGTATTTGGAAGTTTCCCGCAGGAAATTTTACATGGAAGTAAAGTCTTGGAAACTTATTAGATTCAAAATGTCATTTGCTGAATCGACTCCCTGTCAACCAAACATTCAACAACATCCCATCCCATCCCACACCCCTTAGACACGTTCTCTGAATGGCTATTTTTCCACAAGACTGAGTTTAGAGGGTTATCAGCTAGCTGGCGTGCATACAGAGCAGTGATAGCCATAAATCACACGCTTGTTTAACACTATTTTATCATTGACAAAGGGTATCATTTTGCATGCAGAATCAGGAATGTTTGCTGTGTGGAGAACCTCCAGAAAGGGTTCCCACTAGTGGATGTTGTGAAAAGAAAGCATTTTTCAGAGGGGGTTCACGTGAATTCATGTGAACATGAAGGTCATGTCTTGACTAGTTATCCCATTTCCAAGTGGAATCCTTTTGGGCTATCCTGTGCTGGAGCTGACTTGACTTGTATGTTACGGTTCTATTGTTTTTGGATGGTGGGCAGGGACCAATTTCTCGATTCCATCTCCCTCTTCCATGTCATTTCGCATGAATCACGATTGAGTTGCCTCAATCTTGACATGCACTATAAATTCGAAAAAAAGAAAGATTAAAACTAGAAAAAAAATAATACGCTGAACTTTTTCTTTCATTAAATTATAAAATGAATCATCTAAAAGTCTATGGATTCATCCTGGTCCTTATTCTTTCGATCATTCTAATTATGATATAATAATAATAATAATAATGCTTGAAGTTTCATTTTTTCATATTAAGAATCAGCGTTTAACATGTAGCCTCTATAAATATATAAAAAAATAGAATCTTAATATTTATATTAGGGGGTCAATAATTGGGGTTGAAAGTTAAGTGTCACTCTATTATTGTTATCATTATTTTCGTACCAATAATAGTTTTCACACCGAATATGTTTCCTGTTTCTTCGGTTCTTCTGATGAAATGCAGTAAGGTTAATCACTCATTTGTCACAGACATTAATTGATTAATGAATCAAATTTTATGTAAATAAATAAATAAATTATATGACGACCACGGCTCGTTTGTTATGTAATCGCCGGTTTTGCCATTGTTCCTACCTTGTAGAGACAAACCATTTGCGTTATAAGGCATGGCCCTTCTTCTCATGTACTTCTATATTATAAAACAATTAAGAATTATTATAAAATTTCTATTTATATAAAGAGTAAAACATCTTTTTATCAATTTACCCATTCATTTTTTTCCCTTGTTTTTTTTTAATTTCAACTTTGTTTTTTTTTTTTTCTTAATTTCACTCTCATATATATATATATATATATATATATATAAAACAGTTGTTCAAGTTGCATTTGAATTGGTTAGAATAATTGGATTACAACGTAGTAATTCTCATACAATTTAATTGTAAACTCGAATTAAGAAAGAAGTCAGGTTGAAAGGTTTTTTTCCTATCAATTTCAACATCTTTTTTCTTAATTTCATCCTTAATTTTTTTTATATGAGTTGGCTAAATTGCGTATAGACCAAGAAAATCGAATGAGTTATGTTAAAACAACCTATATGCAGTTAAATTTAAACCCAAGCGGTTAGGCTATAATTATGTTAGGAGTGTTTTTATGTCAATTTTATGATTTCTTTCTCAATTTAATCATCATTTTTTTTTACTAGTCAGCTGAGATGTCTTTAAAAAGGCTAAATTGACTAGCCATATCGAGATAACTTTTATATAATTTAATTTTAAATATAAGCTAAGTAAGTAGTCAATTCAGAAGATTTTCAATGTTGGGTTGGACTTAAAAAAATATTAAATAATTCTTTATAATTTTGATATTTTTGTTATATTAAAAAAAAATCTAGTTTATAACTAGGATATATAAACTAGTTTACACTAATAATAGTTAATAATTTTTTGTTAAGCTTAGCAAGAAAGAGAAAAGGACAAGAGTCCAAGAACACTTCCTTGTGAATTGAAAGGGTTGTTAGGTTCATATTGTAATTTAGTAAATAGAATTGAAAGGGTTGTTAGGGTTCAGATTGTAATTTAGTAAAGTGAAAAAAAATATATAGAAGGAAAAAAAGAGAGTAATGGGGTTAGAAATGAACTCAAAATAGAATTTGTGTTTGTGTATGATAATAATAATAAAAAAAATCAATTGTTGGATTCTTTTTGAAAATTACATAATTTCAAGAAAGTTAATAGGGAAAGACATAATTTTGGGGAAATAACATGGTTTGTAAAGAACCGTTGTTGGGAATGACAGTCGTTGAATAACTGTTATTCAGAATAACAGCTTAAATAAAAACCATGATTCAGAATCACGATTTTAATGTAACCGTTATTCTTAATATCGTTTCTTTAATAACCACAATTCAGAATAGCAGTTTCATAAAAAAAAACTGTGATTCTGAATTGCATTAACGATGCATTTATAAACACCTATATTTTTCTCTATGACTATCGCTCTTAAAAGAAAAAACCTTAAAAAAAATAAAAAAAACAAACAAAGAGAAAACAATCCCTAATCACCCAAAACACCATATAATCCTTTACCAAAACACTAGAATCATTTTTCCCTTGTTTCTATAAGTATTTCTATAATTTGTTTTGTTGCAAACCACTAACCTAAGCTTTCGTGTCCAGCCTCCCCAGCGCCATAACTAGCGGAACTACAACTTACATTAGCATTGTCTGTTAGTTTGAAGAGTTTGATTATTAAATTGATAAATTTTATGTTTTGATTTAATTATGTATTTGTATTGTGTTTGATAATTAGATAATTTTAGGTTTTAAATGTTGCAATTATATGTTTTTAATTCAATTGATGGGATTTATGGAATCAATTATGCTTGAATTAGAGAAATTAGAGTTAAATTTAAGACTGGGTTAGCTTTCATATTTATTAATATTGTTTGAATTAATATAAATTTGATTTTAATTTATGCAATTAGACTAGAGTTTGCGTTGAATTTTTGTAAAAATTATCGTAATTGTAGATTTTGTACAATTGAGATCATTTTTTTATTTAATATTTAATTGTCATAATTTATTTTTTAATTGTAAAAATTGTTCAAGTGATTTGTTGTCAAAATTATCATAATTAAACTTTTGAAATTGATTAATGTTTTATTGCTATTATTATGGTCTATATAATAGTAATTTGTGTTTGTGATGAATTGTGAAATAATTTGTTTTTGATAAAATAAGTATTTTTATTTTACAGAATATATCTTCAAACTTCTTTATGTTGTGTCACTATGATGATACTATTGTTCTTGATACAAATAATAGCATTACTTATATTAACAGAAGTATTGTGTTCTTGAATGGAACGAATATGATGAAGTTGTATATGAATAACCGACTGAAACCTAGTACCTCATAAAATATGGAGCATGAAGATACTAATATATTTATTCCCATATATGCTTGCCCACTTAGACAATTATAACATTCGATCGGCGCTGGTACATCTAGGACATTGAAAGATAGAATTATAGGAATTTATGATGAAAATATAATTAAAACTGTATATTATAATCAACATAGGTA